GGCGGGGGCGGGGGGCGCCCTGCACCCGCACCATGCCGCGGGAGGCCTGCACTTCGACGACCGCTTCTCGGACGAGCAGTTGGTGACCATGTCGGTGCGCGAGCTGAACCGGCAGCTGCGCGGGGTCAGCAAGGAGGAGGTGATCCGACTGAAGCAGAAGAGGCGGACCCTGAAAAACCGCGGCTATGCCCAGTCCTGCCGCTTCAAGAGGGTGCAGCAGAGACACGTCCTGGAGTCGGAGAAGAACCAGCTGCTGCAGCAGGTCGACCACCTCAAGCAGGAGATCTCCAGGCTGGTGCGCGAAAGGGACGCCTACAAGGAGAAATACGAGAAGTTGGTGAGCAGCGGGTTCCGAGAAAACGGCTCCAGCAGCGACAACCCGTCCTCTCCCGAATTTTTCATGTGAGTGTGACACGCGATCCCAGCTAGCCACCTTGTTAAATGCTCCATGGGGGTCCGGCTCCTGAGTGGGCTTCCTAGTTGCAGGGCCATGCTCGCCACCACCTCTCCCCCTCCCCTGGCGAGTTTGCTCTCCTTGGCCTTGCACACACACACACACACACACACACACACACACACACACACACACACCAAACTTGTGGTGGTGGTGACTGTTTTGAATTGGGGAGGGAAGGGGTGTCTGGCTCACGGATTGCCAACCTGAAATTCCCCATAACTTGATAGCTTAGTTGTTTTGTTTTGTTTTTTTTTTAACACCGCCCCCCCCCCACACACACACCCCGGACTTGCACAAGGGTCAAAGATCTGAGCAGAGTACTTCATGTAGGACATAGCTCACCTTTGAATCCAGCCATCATCGCCTGTATTTTTTTTTCTTTCTTCTTTTTCAGTTCATGAGCTGGTGGTGTTCATTCTCTCTGTGTGTGTGTTTATTTTGTTTGGATTTTCTTTTGTTTTTTTCTTTGTTTTTGTTTATATTTTGGAGCTTGCGGTGTTGCCCAACCTCCGCCCTCATCCCCCTGCACCATGTTCTTGAGATAAAAGAAAAAACAGCAGGTTTTTTTTTTCTCCTCCTGAGTTCTGTGAGATTGAGCTTGCAAAGGAAAAAAAAAAAAAAATGTGAAATGCTATAGACCTTGCAGCGTGCTGAGTTCCACCGGGTTTTTAGCATTGTTATGCTAAAACAGAAAGAACTAAAGCCCCTCCTGAACCTGCCACAATCAAGCCTGCATCAAGCTTCTGGGTGTGACTCCTGAGTTTTGGCCTTATGATGCCAAATCTGGAAGTTTAGTCAGCCATTAAAAAACAAACAAACAAAAACACAAAAACAAATTTACTCTCATCTCATGCATTATGATGCTTGCTACTTTGTCTTAGCAACAATGAACTATAACAGTTTCAAAGACATTATGGAAAAGAGACATTATATTAATAAAAAAAGCCTGCATGCTGGACATGTATGGTATAATTATTTTTTTTCCTTTTTTTTTTCCCTTTTGGCTTGGAAATGGACTTTTGAAGACTTAGCGCATGGCATCCATACTTTTGTTTTACAGCCTCATGACTTTTTTGAGTTCAGAACAACAGCAGAAAAAGTAGAACCCCAGAGGCTTCTTCCCTTGAAAGTTTGCTTCTACTCCCGGCTGCTTTGAGTTACTATGGACTTCAGCCTCCCGTTGTAAATGCACTGAAGGCATTCCTTGTCAAAGACACCAGAATGGGCTACAAATTTACATGGCAAATATGACAGAACAGAAATTAAATATTTTCTTTTTAGAAACGATGACGGACGCCTGCTTTGGGGCACTTTAAATTGTGCTCTTGCCAAAAGCAGTCTAAATTTTCTTTGAAAAGAAAGAAAGAAAAAGAAATCTGCCCCAATTATTTTTGGTTTGTTTTATTTTATTATTATTATTATTATTCTCTTTTTTTTTGGCTTTTGGTCATTGTCAAATGTGGAATGCTATGGGTTTCTAGTATATAATTTAATTATAGTTTTTATAATCTGTTAGCCCAGTTAAAATGTATGCTACAGATAAAGGAATGTTCTAGATAAATTTGAAAGAGTTAGGTCTGTGTAGCTGTAGCTTTTTTTAAAGACCGATGCACTAAATTGTTTACTGTTGTGATGTTAAGGGGGGTAGAGTTTGCAAGGGGACTGTTTAAAAAGTAGCTTCTGAAGCATGTGCTTGCAACTTAAATATAAGTTGGGTATGTGTAGTTCTTGCTATACCATGGACTGTATTGAAAACCAAAGTATTAAAGGGGAAATGCCCCTGTTTATATCTGTAGGGGTATTTTACATTCAAAAATGTATGTTTTTTTTCCAAAATTAAAGTATTTGGGACTGAATTGCACTAAGATATAACCTGCAAGCATATAATACAAAAAAAATCGCAAAACTGTTTAGAACGCTAATGAAATTTATGCAGTTATAAAAATGGCATTACTGCACAGTTTTAAAGCAATGCAGATTTTTTACAGTTGTGTTGTGGTGCAGAACTGGATTTTCTGTAACTTAAAAAAAAATCCACAGTTTTAAAGGCAATAACCAGTAAATGTTATTTTCAGGGACTGACATCCTGTCTTTTAAAAAAAAAAGAAAAGTAAATCTTACCACAATAAATCTACAAAAATCTTTTGTCAGTCACTTTTCTTTTACATATTTTGCTGTGCAAAATTGTTTTATAACTTGAGTTACTAACTAACCACGCGTGATGTTCTACATGCTTCTCTTTCATTTTCAATTCTGGTTATATCGAGAGAAAGAATAATCTACAATAATAAACTGCATTTTTTTTGATTCTGTTCCGTTTCTTAGTGTACAGATTAACTGGGCCCCAAGTCTTGGATGTATTGGAGCTTGGATGTGAAATACAAAATGCATCCTCTTTGATTTCTGAACAAGGGAGTTGGAGGCAGTAATTCCAGGTGAAATTATAGGCTATTCTGAGAGTTGAGGAGTTTGGCACCATATAGGCACTAATAATATTTAATATAGATATGAATTATGACATCTCAATTTTTTTACTCCCCAAAGTTTTTAGTTCCCCAATGAACTGAGCCATTAAAAAAGAGAGAAAGAGGGACAGAGACAGAAAGAGAAAAGAGAGACAGACAGACAGACAGACATACACACACACATACACATACACACACAGACTCTCGGCTTCTGACCCAGGAGCAAATCCATCTAAAGAGATAGGACCAGAAAGTCAGACTGACCAGAGGCACATTAGAACATATGCATTTAATGGCAAAGATAAACAATTCTTGTCATTTGGCCAAAACTGATTATTTTTTCTTCTTCCTTTACATGTCCTGATTTTCTTGTTGGCACGGCCTTGACAAGACTAAATATAAACACTTTGTACGAAACAAAGTTGTTTGATTTCACTTTATTTTTTTTTTAATTTTAAAAGAAATTTTAATTATTTAAACTGCAAGTCATTTGTCTTAAGTGAGGGGGAAAAAGTCCACCCTTTTCCCACAGAATTTCTAGTTCATGCCAGGTTTAGCTTTGTTATCTAACTACATTTCACAGGGAATATTCGAAGAGTTGTCTCCACACAGACAAACTAGAGATTACATGAGTTCCCAAAATATAAATATAAGACGAAAATAATGCTTTCATGGGGTGAAAGTTATGCTATGATGTATTGCTGTTTTTCCCCAAAACAGGTTATGAATGGGGTCTAATTGAAAGATCGCTTGAAAAAAATCTGTTACCTTCATTTGAATTCCTAAACCCTGACCCATTTAAACTGACACAAATTCCTGCAACCATGTTACAAATACAAGCCATGTTCTCTTTTGGTATGCCTCCCTGGAAGTTAATGGAACAGCAGACAAAGCCAACACTGTTTTGAAAATATAGCTAAACACAATGACCTTTGTCTTGTTTTGTTTTCAATTCTTTTTCTTTTTTAAAAAACAAGATAATATTGCAACCCATAGTAAAGGCCAGATTTGTAAGGAAACAGGTAGTTCTTCAGGCTGGTGAATTCTGGCCAGTTTCTCAGAGGCCCTCCTGGCTCTTCTGCACAGAACACAAGACACTGTTTATGCTTCCTATGTTGACCTCTCTTGATGAACTTGAATGCAAGTCCCCCAAACACTTAGTTTTGCTTGACAGAAGTCTTAATTGCAAAACTTCTCCAATATGCTATAAATTAGCCGTCCTTGGCTTCAGAGGTTTTAATTTCTCTGATTACAGCCAGAAAATATACACATATCACCCCTCTGGAGAGGAGGAAATGGACACGTCACTTGAACCAAACGCTCAGCAGCAGAAGGAAGATTTTAGGCAAATATATTCTTAGAATAAGAGTGACATCCGTAACACAGTGGTTACAATTACTTATGAAAAAAGTGAGACCTGAGTTGGAGGAAACACAATTGCATAATAATGAGGCATCCTGATAGAATTCTATATGGCATATGAGAAGCCAGTTTGGGCCCCAGACATTAGAAAATAAAGCAGCAACAGCAGCAGCAGTAGAATGAGGGACTAGCTTGAAGAAACAGTTAACCTCCACTGAAAAGCACTTTCAGACATGGTGAAACTTTGGAAGATAACAGTAAACATAACTAAACACAAAGAAGCATACCCTGTCCAAATGTGCATTATTACAAATAGATTCCTAAGTTTAAAAACAAAAAAGAAGGAAAGAAAGAGGAAGAAATCAAATAAGAAAGTCTAGCTTTCCCTTTTACACTGCATTTGGGACTTTGTCTAAATAGTGTTAAAATTCCTTTCATTCCAATAATGAAACGGCCCCACTGGCAAGTTAGAGTCATCAGTAGGCTCTGCCACATTTGGGAAGCCCAGCGGCATGTGCCCAATGTGTTCATGAGATATGAGTTGCACATAAGATGTATGCAAGCCGTACATTAAAAAATTATTTGTGGTTTTGGAGAATGATTTCCATTCCATTTCTTTAGTAAGTCTAAAGAAAAATGACTGTGTTAGAGAAGAAGGCTAATGAATGTGTAACCACCATACTAAACAATTAACTACACCTCTTGTCCGAAGGACTCAGATCCACAGAAAAGGGTCCCTGCGCTTATCCATGTACCAGGCATCCAACCAAACCGGGGTAATAGCTTTCAACCTACAATAATAGTTTTTAAAAAATATACTGGAATTAGAACCTCTGGAACCTGTGTGTGTGTGTGTGTGTGTGTGTTACAAATATATCTATAAAGAAAGCTTCCCCACAGCAAACAGCTGGCATTTTAAAAGCATATTTAGGCATGCACATTCTTAGCAGTATATCTTCATTTTTCATTGTTTTCCTGGCAGAGAATTGTACTAAGGGAGGAAAAAAAAAAGGCAAGAATTTGACTTCTCCCCCCCAAACCCTTGCTGGGACAGCAGCTTGATGTGACTGAGCACCTTGGTTTTTCAAAGACCGTGATGATACTAGTATTGACTAGTT